TTCTCATTCACATACACAATGCAAACTAGGACATATCTGGGAAATATCCTGTACCTGACACAAGTCTTGAGTTGGATAGAGACCCACTACAGGGTGGGGTGAGCACCAGGGATGGCAAGGAGCAAGAGAAGGACTTGTGTCATAAATCAAGCCCAGGCCCCATGTCTGAGTGGCCATGGAGGAAAGCACAGAGTGAGGCTCAAGCTGCAAGCTATAAGGGAGAGGAGGCTTGGTCAGGGGATGCCAGCCTCCAGCAGATAAGTGTCCTGGGCTCAAGTGATGGATGTGGCATGAAGCCAGAGGGGAATGCTAACGAGATCCGAGGTGTTGTGGCTGACTGCTACAAGGGGAGACCTGGCTCTAGTGGGAGCTCATTAGGCAGCATGTCCCACCTGCAAAGCAGCAGAGAAACTAGCTCCATGCCTGTCCTCCCACAGACCAGCAGTCATTTTCAACTCGACAGAAAACCTCTCGGCAGTCGGGTGGCCTGCTCTCTACCTGAGGAAACTACCTTCAAGGGCCAGTTCAACTGTGGAGAAATGGCTGAATCCAAAAGTTTAGAGGAAATCCCAGGAGTGTGTGTGAGAGAAAATGAGGCAGCCACAGTTCAAACATCAGGGCTGGGCTCTTTGGTCAGCAGAATTTCTTGGATTGTCCAGGATGCAGGGCGTCTCCTTTGGAGTTCTCCCCAAATACTGCAGCAAGTCAGGAAGGAGGGATTACAGCCTGTTGGAGCCCGCTGGTCCAGTCACGTTGTGTCACTGGTCAGAGAAAGCAATGTTCTGTCTGCATTGAAGGACAGTCAGGTCTTCTCTATGGTTAAAGGGAGTTTCTTTTTCTCTCTGTTCAAGGATAGTCATATCTTTTCCTTGGTGAAAGAAATGCCTCTGGTGCAGCACATCCAGATGGTGATAACTCAAGACCAGCAGCCTGATGAGGCAACTCAGACCATCCAGAGCATTAAATCTGAGACCACACAACTCCCAGGCCTGACACCAACACAAACCTTTAGCAACACAGACGATGATGTGCCACTAATCCTAGAGGATATTTGGACAATGGATACAAGCACTGGGGAGCTGCAGTTGCAGCAAGGGCAAGACGTGGCTGATATTCATGCAAAACAAGGAGACAACGTGGTTGCAATGCTGTTGCCATTGAAATGCTTCAGTGAGCCAGAGGTTACCCTGGCACCTAGAAACAAAGACCAGGCATTGGAGAACGTGTGGCCTGTGCAGAACAAAATGGATATACAAATCTCCAGTCAAACATTGATAAAAGTTCCTGATTTCTTTTCAAACATGCAAACTCTTCCATTCCTAGACACGATGGATGATTTACAGTCTATCATCTCCACCTCACCGTTCACTGCTCAGAGGATTGTAGCTTTCTATTGGATAAATGTAGCTAAATGCAGCCAACCTGAGCCCTGTCCTGCTCTCCTTATCCTGGTGGAGACTGGCCTCTACACTCTGACCACTGATTCTGGGGTCCTGGTTCTGTTCCATCACCTCCCCTTGTTGCAGCTGAAGGAGGTGCAGATAGGCTTAGGAGGCCACTCTTTGCGTTTGATGGGCACTACAGAGGAGAGCATTCTGGGTGTCTATACCTACAGCCAGAAGCTTACCAAAGAGCTGTGCTGGGCCATACTTGGTGTCATCTGCCCTGGGGACAGTAGGGTCTCCGAGCACCCACTGCTCCATGGAGACTTGATGAAGATGTCTCTAGACTGGCAATCCTATGTACCTGACCTGCTGCTGGATGCTGGTTTGAGGTTTTGCTGCCAGTTTCAGAAGAGTCATGCTGATCTAGTTTACCTTATTCACTGTAACACTGACCAGTCACAAGAAACAGTCAGTCCTGGAGAAGTACAGATACTGCTGTACACAAGTGTAGGGGTGTGCATCAGCCCCAGTGCCCAGTCCAGGCCTCTGGCCCAGCTTTTACTTACTGATACCCACCTTGGCTTGTTGCAGGAAGATGCTGTGTTTCATCCAACTCCACATTCTGTCACACTAGTGCCCAGCCGACCCCAGTTCCATGACTTAATGCTTCGTCAGCGCTCAGATATACGTTGTGTGCTAATGCGTGATGAAAACAAGCATGGAGCTGTCAGACTGGATGTAATCCTAGGAAATGTCAGGGGTAGGAGTCACCCTGAAAATGTGACTAAGGCAGCTACCCTGCCTGCACATGCTTCAAATTTATCTCCACATGCAGAAGTGTGGAAATTAACTTTCAGCTGCTCCTCTGAGGCCGCCTGCCTGATTAATCACTTGTCAAATGTCTGATCAATGACTGAACAGCCCTGCTTGGAAACTCACAATGGCAAAAGTGCATTCCAATCAGATGGTTCAAAGGACAGCTTCACTGTTGAATGGCAGGGAATACTATGACCTACTTCCACGTTTCTGTATTGTTCGTTTTATGTTACATGACTTTAGCACTTTCAGATTTTAAAACACTTCAATTTCTTTGCCAAATAGTAAAGAACAAACACTGTACGTTCAGAGGTTGTTGGTTTAATGTGGATTGTTTTAAACAATCAGGGGTTTGAGGTTCAGTACTGAGGAATAAAAACATGTTTATACTAGTTTCATGGGAAATGTATTTAAAAGATTTTAGATGACCAATGCGATCAAATTCTCGCTGCCATGGTTGTGTTCAAGCTACCAGTTTTAGATATAAAAAAAAAAAATCTATTAAATGGTTGTCATTTGTACAAATAAAGGGAAGGAAATCCACTGCTGCTCTAGAGTTTTGTTTACTATTTGGAATGCAGGTAAGCTCTGACTGTTGAGCTTTAACTTTGGGCAAAACAAAGAACTCAGGTTTGTCTTCCTATTATCTCAGACAGACTTCTTTTGTCTCCAGCCACTTGATGATAGTTTTGCCACAGGCTCAACCTCTTCCTCACTGTCTAGGTCACTGCATGAATCTGTACTACACTCATTACAGAACTTGGCAAAGATGCACTTGTCTGAGTCTTAAGCCGAATGCCTACTACAGTTACTACCTGCACAATGGCTCAGACAGTCATCACTGCCCAATCCAGGACAAGACTTTATTGTATAATAACTGCTTTGAATGTTAGATTGGTCATGCTGCATTTGCCAGAACTGGATTTTGATTTACATCCTGAGAGCTGAGCTAAAGCCCGTCTGCTCTGTTCCTTGACTGAGTGACCCCATCCAAAATGGAAAATTACAGGGGCAATGTAGTGCAATCAGTTCTCTTTTCTTCTCGAGCATGAGGGATGTAGAATTGGTCTCGAAAGAAGAAACTCATCACAGTGAGTTTGATAAAGGGTTATTTTTCTCCCTTTTGTTTGAGATGGTTAATTAGCATTCAAATTGTCTACTGCGTATCATGGCTTCTTGTGAATACAACAAAAGGCAGACATATAATAACCTGATGTACTGAAATGAGGCTGGTACTGTTATATGCAGCATAAAGATTAGAATGATGGATTTAATTTTCCACAGGTTTCCACATTTTAAGATAACATCAAGGCTAATGTACTGCAAATATTTTTGCAGGTTGTGAGTAATATAATCAATTAGATCAACTGCAAAGTGGCAGACTACCAGTGTCCTGCAGACAACGCCATAAATTGCTGCAGTATTTAGAAATGGACTCCATTATATAACACTGGCTATTAGTGAGTTAGAAGCTTCAGTAATCTAGCCTTGTGGAATGTGAGCTGGAGAGTTTGTTCCTTCTTGAGGCAGTTGGCTAATGTGTCAACCTCTTGCCTCTGTCTTTTTAATGAAGTGCTCCTTTGGCACTAAATTGTGAAGTGGTGAGTAATTTTTGACATTAGTGGTAAGTTACACCAACAATGGAAACAATATTAAGGTTTTGGAGTTTATTTCATTTGAAATAGATAAACTGCCAACTGAGTTCACTGACTGGCTTGAGTCTAAAATACAAACTCTTGTTGGACACAACCTAAGAGGAAGCACGCACACACACTCAGATGCCAGATATCCACTTGCAGCCTCTGAGTCTCTGATCATTAACCTGCTCTGTGTGATTTCCCACTGGTTCTCCAGCCCTAATACACACCTTCATTGACAGCACATACCAAGATAATTTGTTTACCTCCTCCTTTGGAAGCACGTGAATGTGACCTAGTCAGTTATCTCCGTACTTAGCTGTTGGTGGACAAACTTTTCTGATCAGTCTGGCTGACTGCAGTAGGCACAAATGATGCACTTATTTCTTCAGATTTTCACAAGGCTAATCCACCACCTACTGCATAGGTATAAAGTGGTGTTGACGTTTATATAATGCATTCTAATTAAACCAGACTTGTACTGGCAAACTTCAAACTACCCCATCTCTTTGTTTCTTTTGCTTGGGGGGTCAATTTTCTGGTTACAATAAATAGAATAAAAAAAAACCCATCTTGTTAAGCCAAGAATTAATCTTTCAGAGGAGCTGGCTTCCCAATTTAACATGGTATTAATACATGACCTTTGGAAAAGAGGCCAGCAGATCGACAGAGAACATTTATAATACTGGTAGTGAGTTTGTCCTAGACGGCAAAGAAAAGCAATGTGTGGATAAAGGCAATTAGTTAACTGTGGACCACATAGGCCTTCACAAGTGAAACTATGGACTCAGATTTTTAAAACAACTTTCAGTCTGAGACCCAACAATTTGTAAAATGAAATGACACTTTTAAATATAAAGTTTATAGCCTCTTCATGTTGACACGGTGACACTATTTTAACGTGGCTTACATAACATTTTTTAGGTTTGGAATAGGTCCTGTTTTATAAAACAATCTGTGAACTAACTATACTGCTGCTTTCACACATGACCCAGTATCTTCCTCTAATGAATGTCCAGACACAGCAGGACACACACGCTATTGCAGCTCTTTACTTTGTCCCTCGGCCACGTTAGTGTCCATAGCCAACTGTGCAAACTAGAGGAACTACTCTCCTGCTTCTGCTGGCGTGCTCGGCACCTCCAGGTGTTGCCGTTTGTCAAATTATCTGCAGGCCCAGCGCTTCAAGGAGCGTGTACGTGCGCGACAACGTACTGTGATGCGAGACCACATGTTGTTGTTTTTTTTTTCCTCCTTCAGCTTCACTTCAACAAAGTACGTACTTGCTGCTTATCATGTTTATTCTTAGCTCCGTGCTGGTGTGTTTTGCTTGCGGCACTTGTCGGCAGATATTTAATTATTTATATAAGTGTTAAACTTCTCTTTGTACTTTAGCAACTTGTCTTGTGAAGGAGGAACGTTTTCTTAATAGCTTCTTCTGTGATACTGACAGTCAAGTATAATGGTGTATAGTGACTTTTAGCCAGATTAGTTTTCCGAGTTGTCATTGCAGAAACAGATCTTCTATAGTGTAGTTCAGTAAGTGGCCCACTAGAACCGAACTACAACAAAATAGTCATCAGTCCCATTATTAATTACACCTGTTGTGACACTTCAAAATATAAGTGCGCTGCAGTGTTCAACTGTGCCATCAAACACAATTGTTCTTGGTGTCAGCACATTAACTTATGTGCATTGATAAGTAATTTAGTTTAACTGCTGCTGCGACTTCAATGCTTCTCTATTATTACTACCTTACATATTTGCTTGTTGGCAATGTCATGGTGGATTTTGATGTCATGCTATTGACTTGTGTAGTGGTTAAATATACTCACCACTGGGTTTTATGGGCTGTATTTGTTTTTGAGAGTTTCCTCTGAAGTTTGTTGCTGATGTTTTGGAGTATTTGCTCAGTGCAAACTGGGGTAGGCTATATACTGTATGCTGGCCTTAGATGCACATGCCCTATTCGCATTATGGCAGTCATCCCAGCTTTTCCCACACACCCTGTAGATGGCTGAGCTCCTGTTCTGTGGTCTGTGCTGCAGCAATTACCAGTTTAAGCTCATAACCTTGTACTAGTGGTTATTCGTTTATCACCCCGCATAACTTTTTCAGCCTATTAAAATTTTAATATCTATAAGTAAATACTCAAAGTACCTGTTGCTTTACTTTGCATATCAAGTGGATTGTTGGGTTTTGAGCTCTTCTCATTAGATGCTATATTCCTCTAGTGGTTGGAGTTGCCTAGGAGAGGAATGGTGGCGCTTTCACACTAGATTCCAACATGTTTGCATAATAATCTTTCATGTCATTTGACAATCATATGTTTACAATGCACACGTTCAGTTTTGGGAGCCTATATATTTAATCATTTATTCTGTGCAGATCTGAAACTCTGAACCAGTGGCTGAAACGCTGCTGGTCAAAAGTTCAGCGTGTGATGTGAAGCAGTAGGATTTCTGAATATGTTCATTAGGAGATAAAAACCAAAGTCATGTCACTGCTCTCTTTGTGAAGGCTGAATGTCATGGGCACTTTTTCAAGTTGATTTTTTGGCCCCCCCCCCCCCCACCCCCTGGTTTTGGATTAATTAAATTAAAAAACAGCACAGTTATCTTCATCACTATAGTCCCATCTGATGAAGGCTAATGATTGCTAGCGATGACGAGGTTTAGTTATAGGCCTCTGATGGAGCATGATGGGGCAAGTCTCAGAGGAGACGGACACAATGTCGACCTGAATGTCTCTGGCATCTTGAGCGGCGCTTGTTTGTGAATCTCTGTCCGTGGGCCAGAGAAAACTTGCTGCCCTGTACAAGGATGAATTTGTCACAGTATCATTTTTAAATTGGACTCCTCTCCCTGCCCACCCCTGCTCAGTTTTGGACCTCACATGAGCTTCATTAGCATTTGCAGGAACTGTGAGACATTTACCACCATGAAATGTGACAGATTTCACAAGCTTAGTTTTACTGTTGCCCTGGGGGGGAAGAGGCAGTGCTCACCATCTGTTGATTGCGACTGTACCCAGCACTTCCATAAGAGGCTGCCTCTCAGCTAACAGGCCTATGAAAGTGTTTTTTTTTTTTTTTCCTTGGGTATATAAAATAAAAATGCAAAGATATTAGATGTTGGAAGATAGTTTGAAAGTTCCTTAAAGATGGTAAAGTGTATAAACGTATAGATACTTAAGAGGAAGTGATTGAAAAAGAAGTGGAAGATTTATTATTTATAACTGAAGTGTAGTTAAGCTATTCAACCATATCACTGTTTACATTGGTTTAGGATCTAGGCCCATTTCTGTTTTAGCAACACTCACTGCTAATTACTCTTCAGTTTAACATGTCACTGCTTCTGTGTAATTCTTTTATTTATAAATTAAATGTGTAGCATACACACGAGCACCTTGACGTAGCCCAGTTCTTATCTGTGCTGCTGGCAGGGCACTGCCGTCCTTTTGACACCAAGTATGTTTGGTTATGTTCTAGTAAAAGGAGATAGAGGTGCTGTACGGCAGGTCCTAAAGATGAGTAGCTGCTCTGAATGAAATGTGCTTTTAAATTATTTTTTTAAGAATCCCAGTAAAGTTTCTGAAAGAGATGCGTCTTCATTCAGAAGATCACCCTACATAATACACACAGTAGACCTGTAACAGAATTAAAGGCATCGTATTCTGTAAATCAGAACCATGCAGTATTTTGGTTCATTGAAATGTACCATTTTGAAGTGTTTGCATTCAACTTTTGTAGAATCTTTTTTTTTGTGGTTGGTATCAGCTGAAATACGTAAGTGGTTTGTAGCTGTGCCCTCAGGCCTCTTGACTGTTGTCTATGAGTCCCCAGTCAAAAAGTCAGCTTATTGTAAATAGACTAAGGGACTAGTAAATGAGAAGTGGTTGATAGTCAGTGGGCGTTACTACTTCTA